AATTAGTAAAAACTGATCTAGAAGAAGCATTAGGTTGGTGCTAATGGTTTTGGCTCTCTGCATTTCACCGATTGCCATATTTTTTGTCTGTGAGTCAGATCGTCTGTTTCTTTCACACACACGAATGTCTTCTCATGCCACCACCATATGAATAATAAGCTTCAGTTCTGTTTTTTCAATCATGTCAATTATGAAACCCTTGTGTGTATATGTTGTGTGAAGTACTGGTGAAATTTGATTTGATCATTTCGTAAGCAAATTTACAAGTGGTGAGCCAAGAAGACACAAATTAATTTAGTATTAAAGCAGCAGAACAAACTTTGACAAACTTTGACAAACTTTTAACACAAAAAAACAAAAGAAGAAATTCCAAAATCTGAAACCAAAAACCTGCATTCACACAGATTCAGGAGCAGCATCCTGAGTCGGCCCTCCTTTTTGTTTCTTGCGCAAGACAAACACATCAGCCTCTTCGTACGCATAATCCGGGTGCAAATCCTGGTGCAGAACTTTCTCTATCACAAAAACCCTCTCACACATTTCCCAGAACAGTTGGTGTGCTTCCGGAGACCTCAGCTGGTAGCCGAGCAAAACGACGCCGTCGTCCTTTACCAGCGCCTCCATGGTGGACACGAGCGGGCCCACAGTCTCCTCTATGTAAACGACGTCCGTCGCCACAACGACGTCGTATGGAGGTGTTTGTGCCTAATAAATCACGGCCATAAGCTGGCCGAAGGAGCCCCTTTTCTCGGCCCTGGCACTTGCTCGTAAAACTGAAACGCAGCGTTTCGCCAAGGCGCTCTGCCTTCCTGAAGACAAAAGAAAAATGCTAAGGCCTGATCATCTCGGCTCACTTCCCACCTTCCCTCATGCATTAAATGCTTATTTGTGGCCAGTGGGTTTGCCGCATTAAACAGGCACTACTTCATTAAATGAAGCCTGGGACCCTGTTGTCACGTGATGATTTGCCTTTAATGCTTTTGGCCGTGATTTTGTTCGGCCTCGGCCTCGGCCTGCGCTTGAGGCCGAGATGATCATGCCTTGGCATTTTTCTTTTGTCTTCAGGAAGGCAAAGCGCCTTGGCGAAACTCCGCGTTTCAGTTTTTACGAGCAAGTGCCAGGGCCGAGAAAAGGGGGTCCTTCGGCCAGCTTATGGCCGTGATTTATTAGGCACAAACACCTCCATACGACGTCGTTGTGGCGACGGACGTCGTTTACATAGAGGAGACTGTGGGCCCGCTCGTGTCCACCATGGAGGCGCTGGTAAAGGACGACGGCGTCGTTTTGCTCGGCTACCAGCTGAGGTCTCCGGAAGCACACCAACTGTTCTGGGAAATGTGTGAGAGGGTTTTTGTGATAGAGAAAGTTCTGCACCAGGATTTGCACCCGGATTATGCGTACGAAGAGGCTGATGTGTTTGTCTTGCGCAAGAAACAAAAAGGAGGGCCGACTCAGGATGCTGCTCCTGAATCTGTGTGAATGCAGGTTTTTGGTTTCAGATTTTGGAATTTCTTCTTTTGTTTTTTTGTGTTAAAAGTTTGTCAAAGTTTGTCAAAGTTTGTTCTGCTGCTTTAATACTAAATTAATTTGTGTCTTCTTGGCTCACCACTTGTAAATTTGCTTACGAAATGATCAAATCAAATTTCACCAGTACTTCACACAACATATACACACAAGGGTTTCATAATTGACATGATTGAAAAAACAGAACTGAAGCTTATTATTCATATGGTGGTGGCATGAGAAGACATTCGTGTCGTGTGTGTGAAAGAAACAGAGGGTCTGACTTACAGAAAAAAATATGGCAATCGGTGAAATGCAGAGAGCCAAAACCATTAGCACCAACCTAATGCTTCTTCTAGATCAGTTTTTACTAATTTAATAACCTACGTGTATAATCATGGGTTTCATCAACGAAGCATTCGAGATTATCACAAGCCAAGCTTATTTCTTAGCCGAGCGAAATTGATGGAGGAGAATTTGTTGCCGAAGATTCAGTGATCTCTGAGCAATTGGTGGTATAATCAGGGCCAGAGTCATCAACTTGCCCTCCTTCAGAACCAATACTAGAAGACGAACCTGAAGCTGATATTGTAAGAGGAGAAGTAGTAGTTCGCATCTTTGATGGTTGAATGGGCGCTGCAACTTCAAAGTTAAGCATTTGAATCACTTGCTGTATTGAAGGTCTGGAATTGTAATTTGGATGACCACACCACAACCCAACAATCAACAAACACTCCATTTGTTTCTCATCAAAATCTCCACACAATTTTGGGTCAGTTGCTTCAATCACTTTACCTTCTCCATAAAGCTCCCAAACCCACTCTACCATATTAGGTTTACCACTTTCCAACACATCAAAAACTCTCTTTCCGCAGGCTATTTCCAGAGCAACAACTCCAAAGCTATAGATATCTGACTGCTTGCTAGCTTTTCCTGTCATCAAATATTCAGTAGCCATGTAGCCAAAGGTTCCAACTATAGTCGTCATCTCCTCCAATTCTTCTCCATGGTCCACAAGCCTCGCAAACCTGAAACCCCCCAGTTTAGCGTTGAAATTTGAATCCAATTTAATATTGCCGGATTTGATATACCTGTGCAAGACACATTGTTCCAATTCTAGGTGTAGATAGAGCAACCCAGAGGCTAAGCCTTGAGCAATTCTATATCTTATCTCCCAAACTAACCGGCTTTTTCCTTGGAACAAATGAGAATCTAATCTGCCGTTGGGCATGAACTCGTAGACAAGTAGGAGCTCTCCTTCATCGTGGCACCAACCAATGAGTTGTATCAGATTCCTAAGTTGACTGATGGCGCTTACTTCTGACACGACTTCCTTGAGCCCCGGTTCAAATCCATTTGAGATCTTCTTAACAGCAATGTAAGAGTTCAAATCTTTTAGGTAGCCCTTGTAAACCACACCAAATTCTCCCTCTCCAAGTTTTTCTCCCTCAGAAAAATGTCCGGTCGCGGAATCCAATTCTTTGTACGAAAACTGCCTTGGGCGGCGGATCTCCTTTTCCAATTGCTCAATCATGTCATGAGGAATCATAGATTTTTAGCAGCCCTTCCTTCTGGTGCCCTTTTCTTACACGAGTTGAACAAACCCAAACCTAATACACAAACCAAGATAAGTCCACCTCTTAATCTTCTTTCATTAATTACTACATATTTTCTACACTTACAGTATTTGCCAGCTCGTTATATAATCAACTTAAATCAGTTAAATCCATCATGTAATGCATTTCCTTCCAATTTTTTGTGATAAACTAATAGATAATTGACTAAATAAACATCCTGCGAACTTTCAATAAAAATTTCCAAGTTTTTCATACAATTTCCTTGGTTTTTATTCAATTTTTACCGATACCGATAATATCACGATATTTCCTTCGATATTTCTGTGTTTTTGGACTTTTGATATTTCTGATACCACCGATATTTTAGACCTTGCTCCTAATTCACGGTTGAGTATGACCTTTTTGGCGCTATGAAGAAAGCTAGCATCTCCTTTGTTATTTAATAATTTCGTAGTGCTGCTCCTGCTGTTGTGATCACTTCGTTGGAAGGTGGGGAAATGGAAGGCTAAAGGAGTTGCACAAGGGGTTAACAGGAGCAGAACAAGAAAGAACTTCGGAGAGTGCAGTGTGATGATGGCAGCCATTTTTGTTTATGGGGAAGTGAGTTTGGGGATCTACTAAAATAGGGCAGATTGCACAGCTAATTTTCCAATTGAAAACAAGATTTTCAGCTAGAGGACTTTAGACCTGGTGGACTGACCTCTATGCGAAAGTGTTCCGAAACTAGGGACACCAGGACTTTCAGCCTTTGTTTCTGCTACGTTTCT